TCTGTTTAATTTATCTTCAAGTTTGAGGAGATGGCTGCTTAAGTCAACATTTAGGAGTTTGAATTTTGACGAGTCTGCAAGAATGTTAGATATTTTGTTACAGTAATCAGTCTTGTTAAGGATTACTATGCCTTTTCCTTTGTCTGGTCTTGTTATCACAATGCTATCATCGTCTTTTAAATTTTGAAGAACATTAGCATATTGTTCTGTGTGGTCTGGGCTATACATTGATTCTCTGCAATGCTGTACATACATATTATTAGCAAGAGCAGAGATTTTGTTGAACACTGCATTGAAAGTGTCTTTGTAGATATTACAATGTTTAAGCATATGGCAAATTCTTTCGAAATGGGTAAAAAAATTTGAAATAACTTAATTTGCGGGGTCGTAGACCAAAATCTAAACCTAGAGATAAGGCATTCTTTTCATCAACAGATAGAGTTCGGTCAGAGAAATTAAAGATAACTTTGTTGATATCAACCATATTTCTAAGGTCAATACCCAAGTTTCTTAGCTTCCTGTGGTGGATTTTTTCACAGAAGACAATCTTCTGTCAACATTATGGTTAATCAGTGCAGAGAGGCATTTGAAATCAAACACTGTCTTTTTGATTTCAAATCAAGAACAAGGTTATTTGTAGTGACCTTGAGTTTAGTGAGTTTTCTGCTTTGTCTTTTGATTTCACGCTCAAGCATTATGAGGAGCCAAGATTTGTAGGTGTTGGTTAAGAGGAATGACTTATCGTACAATTTGAATCTGAGGAAATTGGGAATGATGTTGTACAATTTGCAATGATTCAGGAATACAAGGTCCAATTCTAATTTCTTGGTTTTGAAGATGTTCTTGTTGACACATCTGTAGGTCTTCAGAGTGGGTTGGCCATATCTTCTCGTAATGATTTCTGCTGTTGATTTTCCATTCGGGAATCGTAATCTCAGAAGGAAAAGGAATGCCAGGGCTGTGATGAACATCTTTATTAAGTAACGTTTCGAAGAGTTATCTCTCCATCATCAGACTAAAAACGGAGAATACAAGAACAAATTAGATAAGATAAAAGAGAACAGTGGTAAAAAATAGTTTATAACAGAGTAAGCAAATCAAAAGGTAACAAGTGAACAAAAAAGAAACAGTCAAAAACATAGTGGAAAAATGTAAAAACTTGGGTGAGGGTGAGACATACCAAAGACAAGTGAGGAAGTGCTAGTTACGGTGGTTGAATTACACCGTAAACAACTGAATGGCTGTACTATTGTTCAGGTCAGGTTTCATCTTGTGGATATACAGGGATTCTGAGATGAGAAGGTCAAGTTTGTTAGCTGTTGCGGACAGAATTTTAAAATCATTGTGAGTGAACGGGTGATCTTGTGAGTGTGAATGCTGACGAACAGCAGAGAAAGAAGGTCTGCTCAGAGGTAGGCTCGTCCTTATAGATTTGCCCATATGTTCGAGTGTTCTATGTTTGAGCCATCGAGTGGATGACCCAATGTACCTAGCGTTACATCTAGGACAATTGAAAATATATACTATATTCGAACATAGTTCTGAAGGCAGAGGCATTCTTTTTCTAAACATCGAGTTGATATTATAGTGGTTGACAAGGACAATATTGAAGCTGATCTGAGGGAATGAATGTTTAAGTATTTCACGTAGTTGTTTTCGAATGGTAAAACTTATATCACCAAGATACGGTAATTTTATGAACTTTATTTCTTTGTGAGCGGTGAGGATTTTTGTGGGTGGGCTTAGTTTATTATCCAAGAATGATCTTAGGGTCTTGTAAAAAATGTTATCAGGAAAACCATTGCTATTGAAATAGTTGACTAAGAATTTGATTTCGTCATCAAATTGGATCCAGGTAGAGCAAATATTAAATGCTCTATTAATTAGAGTGGTTATGCTGTTAATTTTATACTTCAAAGGTGTGAAACTTAAATAATTCATTCCCAAACCGGTGAAAGTAGGTTTTCTATAAACCGAAGTAGAGAGACGTCCGTTTTCTTTGGAAATCAATGCGTCAAGAAAGGAAAGTTTGTTTTCTTTTTCTGTTTCGCACGTAAACTTAATGTTTGGATGTTGTTCATTAAGATATGACAGAAACTGTTCAATGTGTGACTGTTGTTTGAAAAGAAGAAACGTGTCATCCACGTATCTTTTGTAAAAAAATTGGTTTGAAATGATCTGGGCAGTTATTTAACCAATTTCGTTCATGATGGCAAAGAAAGGTATTAGCATAGCTAGGGCCAATGGGGTGAACCCATGGCTACACCGTCAATTTGAGTGTAAAGTTGATTATCGAAAAAAAAACAGAGTCTCTCGTGGCAACATTTAGAAAGGAATTAAACTGTTTTTTTGTTGAGACCAAAGTGTAACAAAGACTCGTCAGATGTGGTATCTGTGATAATCTGGGTGGTTTCTGACAGAGGAACGTTAGTGAATAGAGATTCAACATCAAAGCTTGCCATTATTGTAGAATCATCAATGTTGAGTTGTTTAATTTCAT